CTTACCCGAAGCATCGGGAGCGTGAGCAGCAGGACCAGCAGTACGCAGGTAGAAGGGGGCTGCCATGGGCCCCCCATGGCCGGAGCCAACCCCGTGCTGCCCCGTCCACGGGTGTCCTGGCTCACTCCCCGCGGGGTTGGGGACACCCCAGCTCCTCCCGCATGGCCCCGTGGGTGGGGGGCCGCAGCAGCACCCCGGCTCCCAGGGGCGACCCAGCACCCTGCTCCCCCTAACCCCGCTTTCGCTGCTCCTTCCCCAGCCCTGTCCTGCTCCCGGCTCCCTCCGGGACCCTTTCCCGTGGCGGATGCTGGGTCCCACTCAGGTGGCCCTGACCCTCTCCCAGTACCCACCTGGCTCTGACTGTCCCCCCCTACCCTGCCCAGCACCGACGGGCTCCGTCTCTCTGCGAGACTGAATGTCACAGCTCCTGGATCTGGTAATATGGCAGGCTCCACCCTCCGCTCCCCCTCCCCACGCAGAGGGCTGGATGCGAGGGGGGGACACCCCAGCCTGCCACTGCCCCGCCTGGCCACCGCCGGGATCACAGCACCCCCTCATCTGCTCCCGTCGGGGACCCGGGGACCCCCAGCTGGGCCCAGGGGGGATGCAGGGAAGCGGGGCACGGAGCCCTCTCGCCTGCTCCTTGGATGCTGCCGAGCTGGAAAACCGCTGGCCGAAGGCTGTGGGAAATGGGGGTCCAGGATGGGGTGCGAGGGGCACACCGAGGGGCGGCGCACTCGCTGGCCGGCTCCACGCCGGGACCTGGGACGAGAGGAAGGCGGAGAGCTCAAAGGAGATATGGTGATGCTGGAGCTGCGCACGCGAACACACGCCCTGACACACGTGTGCGCGTGGCTGGACGACACGCGTGCACGCGGAGTCGGGGCAGTGATGCTCCTCCAAGCCCTGCCTGCCCAGGAGGCTCTGCCACCCATGGCACAGCGGCGCTGCCATCGCCGTCCCCAGCTGCGCCCTCCATCTCCCCCCGGAACACCCCCTCACCCCTTTTCCCTCTACAAAATAACCTTAACTCTGCCCCAACTCAGGTTTTCGGTCTCGGCTGAGCTCGTGATCTTGGTGCCACCAAGGTTTGGTGCTGGTCCTGCTTTGGTGCCACCAGGACGCCGGGTGCTGTAACACCGGTACCGAACCAGAGCAGAGAAGAGGGGGTGCTGGTGGGGACCCCCCGGGAGAGGCAGCAAACCGTGATGGACACACACCACAACCCACCCAGCGCAGCATCCCTCCCAGGGATGGGGCTGCCCTCAGGCCCGGCTACAGACCCCCAGACTCTCTTCTCCGGGGAATTTTGACCCAAACTTCACTATTTTAATGCTTTTAGTGATGAGGAGGAGAGGGCAGGAGGGGCGAAGGGAGGAGGAGGAAACGCAGGAGCGGAGGGAAGGCGACCGTGATAATCTCTTGGGATTAAGGATCCAGCCTCGCCCCCCCCGGACCCCTCCAAAATCCTCCTCACCGAAGCAACTCAGGTGCGGGCGATGGTGAAAGGAGGGGCTTGAAAATGGCCCCGACGGCCCTCGCTGAAGGGTAGAGGGCTGGGGGGGGCTGCACCGCACTTGGTGCTGGGGTGGGAGGAGGGTGAACCATTTACGTTGCTAATTTTAGTAATCCTACGTCATTACCATTTCTTAACGAGGCGGCAGATCACATTAGCTAGTCCTTCCATAACTCCTCGTAATGAGACACGAAGGCAATGAATGAACCGCCGCCGTCGCTCTGCCATTCGAAGACCTCAATAAGAATTGCTATGTAAATTAAATACCCCTTAAAAAAAAAAAAGAAAAAAAAGGCAAATAAAAGAACTAGGTCCTTAATATTTAAAAGCATTTGTTTGACATTATTAGGAGTGACCGACGCTGCTCTCGGAGGCACGGACCGGCAAAGGCTGAGCCCGCGGTTATGTTGACACAAAAGGCTGCTGAGACCCGGCCAGACTCATTACCGCCTAATAGTTTCCACTGAAATGCAAACACCCGTTCTTAATCATTTAATTTTCCGACAGCATATAAACACGCAGAGGGAGGGTGCCTTAGCAGACGCTGCTAAAACCAAATAAAACAATACCCGATGCAAATAACCCTGTGCCCGAACCGGCTGCATCGCCCCACGGGCAGCGCCGGCAGCTCCCGGCTGAGGTGGGAGGTGAAGGAATGGGGTGATGGGGGACACGCTCTGGTTTGGGGGTGGCGGTGGCCCTGAGCCACCCAACGTGTCCCCACAAGGATGGTTTATTTGGTGCCATCTGGTGGCAAATTGACCGGAGGATCCCATCCCCGGCTGGTCGCTGGAGGGGAGCAGCCCAATTTCGGAGATGGCCGGGTCTGGTGGCCATGATGGGAAAGGCCAGATGAGCATCGCATGGCTGGAGGATGCGCGTTGCTCTTCCCTTCCCCAGCAAGCAGCCCATGTGGTGGGGGGATGCGATGGGGAGCAGTGGGGACCCCTCAGGCGATGCCCAACCACTTCTGCCTTCCCGAGCTGGTCCTGCCCTTCCTCCACTGAGGATGAGCTGGGACAGACCTCCTGCCTGGATGACCTGTGCAGCCCTGCTGGCACTGGGGCCATTGCTCTCTTTTTCAGCAGCAAGTGGAAGATGCGCTGGGGGCTGGAGCCCCTCTGCTGGGAGGACAGGCTGGGAGAGTTGGGGGGGTTCAGCCTGGAGAAGAGAAGGCGAAAAAGGGGAGACCTCAGAGCCCCTTCCAGTGCCTAAAGGGGCTCCAGGAGAGCTGGGGGGTCTCTGGATCAGGGAGGGGAGCCTCTCCTGGGGCAGTTTCCCCCGAGAAGCTGTGGCTGCCCCATCCCTGGAGGTGTTCAAGGCCAGGTTGGACGGGGCTTGGAGCAACCTGGGCTGGTGGGGGGTGTCCCTGCCCAGGGCAGGGGGCGGGACTGGGTGGTCTTTAAGGGTCCCTTCCAACCCAAACCATTCTATGATTCTACAAAATGAGGTCAAACTCATGGCATTGCAAACCCTGGCCAGCTTGGGACCCTCCAGCCCCCTCCAGGCTCCCCACCGGGACCAGCATAGGCGCAATGGTGACAGTGGTGGGGATGGCAGTGGTTGACTGGAGGGGACAGGAGAGGAAGATCTGCCTCAGGCGCATCACTTTGGTCATGCATGGCTGTGGGTGGTGGGGAACGGTGACCGTGGGGCTCTGTGTCCGTGCCGAAGCCCCGGGGAAGCTCCCCGGAGGCTGCCCTCCAGCCACGGGCACTCCCATTAATCCACCGTCAGCACTGGGATTGCTGCTGGTGCGTGTCGGTAATTACAAATGACTCAGCCGTTTCCAAAGCAAATGAAGTCACTCGCAGTAATCTTTTTGCAGGCGGCAAATGCTCGTTTACCCAGGGCTGGAAATTACTAATTGTGTTACCTCCATCCCACCTTACGGCAAAGAAGCCGGGTGTCCCCAGCCCTCGCCAACAACCTCTTGCTTAATTTTAGGCTCTGTGGAAGGAAACGGTCTGCGAAGGGTGACTCAGAGTAAGAGGAGACCACGGTGGCTGGACGATAGCATGGAGAAGATGGGGCTCAAAGCGCCAGCAGTGTGAGACCTCCTGGAAAGGGAAAGTGGTAGGGTTTGGGGTTGGGTTTTTTTTTTTTTTTTTTTTTTTAATTGGGTTTTAAAATAAAGGGCTTTTCACCACTCG